CCTCGTTTATTTTCGTTTGATAAGGCTTTCTTTTCCGCTAGTGTTCGGGTCTACGTTGCTACGAAAGTTGGCAACCCTATTTAATATTTACAGAATATACAGATCGTTGAAATATTAACAAGATACACAAACAGATGGGTACGAACGTGAACTCGTGGACAAATGATCTACTATAGAATCCAGCCATCGCCTTATTTACGATGAATTATACAAATGCTTTAAAAAAATCTTCAAAAAGATTGTCGAGTCAATCTTTTACTTTAACAGTAGAATTATAAATGTGTTTTAATTTAATTTAAGATATTTTTTTATATCAAAAGATGGCAAACGAGCGGGCGGCCACCTGAAATCGCTGAAATAGCGAAGTAACCGTTGCCCATAGACATACGCAATTGCATATGCGTTGCCTTCCTTTAATCGACGGAGAAGAGGATGCATAGAAAGAAAATATCTTCCCTTTCCATGCATCCTCTCATCCGGAAAGTCCACCTCCCATCCTTTTATTATAAAGAAAAGAATGGGAAGGGAAAGAGGACTAAATTAGGCCTACGGGACGACACTCATCAGACGATACGCGGAATTGCTTCCACTTTACGCCTGTCTTCTGTATGGTCGTGGTATTTCACCGGGCGAGCCGGGCCGATTCGTGCGAAGATGTTAAAGCGGGCTTTACCACTGAAATACCATATAGAAGATAAAATGAATTTACAATACAATTTGTTACCTTTAAGTCCACGTCAAAGCAATTTCAAATAGAATTTACAGATAAATTCAATTTTCATGCTTGTATCGCAAGTTTTACGTGCAATTTTCAATATACGATTCGTGTTTAGTTTGTGAAAAAGGTGATTTCTTAATCTTTCTTCTTACATCTTACTATAATATTATCAAAGCGGAAGTTTAGGTAGATGGATGGACGGATGGATGTTTGAAGGCATCTCCGAAATGAGTCAACGGATTTTGATGACACGTTCCGGAGATGCCTGGACGAATTTGGCATACATGTACAACATAGTTCAGAAGAATACATAGCCTATTTTTTTACGTTTTTTTTTTAATTCCGTGCGGACGGAGTCGCGGATAACGGCTAGTAATGTAATAAAGTAAAAATGTTATTTTTTAATTTTAACTTCGTCTAGGAAACGAATGTTTCTTAAATAAAAAACCCTTTATTAGTAGAAATCCTTTCTCGTTTCAGTTTTAAATGAAAATTATTTCCAACTTGTTAAACGTTGAGATAAATTCTGTTTAAGGCTAAGTGAGATTAGGAAAGGCCCTATTTACTTAGAATATGAATGAAATTGCATTTTATTTCATTTAACATAAGATTCATTGTTGAGCGCTGCGTTGTAATATTTATAAAGGAAGCTTATTAAGGTTTTACTTAGCCAGTCCATATCAAGATGTTTAGTAGAATTCGCTATATAATTGTACATTTTATAAAAAATTGAATTCAAAATATCCTTAAACATGTTTATTAAAGCTACGAAAAACGAAATAATAAGCATATTTTTTTTTATATTTAAGGAGATTTCTATAACAAACCCTATTTTATCTGTAAGAGAAAATATTGAAACATAATACTTTTATTATATAATAAATGATAGCGAGAAGGAAATACTGACTCACCGAATTCGAACCGAATTCGCCAAAACAGCGAAGTGACCGTTTTACAACCGTTAAATCCTACTAATATTATAAGTGCGAATGTTTAGATGGATGGATGGATGTTAGAAGATATCTCCAGAACGGCTCAACGGATCTAGATGAAATTTGGCATAATACATCTGTGCTGAACATAGTCTAGAACACATGCTACTCATTAAGATTTCTTTATTTCTGTGCAAACGGAGTCGCGGTGCACAACTACTAGCTTAATAAAAGATAGCCAATCTTAAAATCCTTGTTCATCACTTGACCGTACATTTCTATCTTGCCCTGCAAATTTATTAATATCTTGTTAGAGTTACAGTATCCATCTTACGCTCCACCGTGAAATATTTCCGACCTGTTACACTTCCAGATGACACGAATTTAGGGCGATTATGAAATTACCCTAGCTATACAATTTACAACTCTATTCTATCGCTTTAAGATTCAATTTCATTGTAACTATAAACGTTGCCTTTCAAAATCCCGTTTAAGCTCAATTTGTAAACTTTATACTTTAACCACTAGATGATAAGAACCATTTTCTATTGTACGGGCATAACTGAAGAGCAGCATGATATAAATTAGTTTCCTTTTGTCTTCAGTATTTACGTAAGAATACGTCGTCCACTTTCGCTTATAAAATACGTCCGGATGACATTTGCAAATGTAAATTAAAATTTTGGGATGGTTATTCTTCTTTTGCTTTTTACAAGAATCCGTGAAACAATGTAGTCCAAATTATGCTTGGTGAAAAAAGTTCTAAAGCCCCTATTATTTCTCTAAAGACATTTTGCTGATACATATAATGTTGCATGACTATTTACAGCAGGCGCTTTGCTATTTCAATGTCAACTGAGCATAATATTTTGCATAAGGTAAATGTTCTAACTACCTAAATAAGACAGAATTGCTCTTCTGATCCTTCATTTACTTAATTTGTCTTGTTCCGTAAAAGTTAAGTACATTTATTTGACAGAATTTTAGCAAAAATTCTTCTCGTTGTATTTTTAAAGTTATTTTGAGTAAACGATATTGTCTTAAATTTATAAGCAACGTGAATAAGCTGGGAAAGCTACTTTCCTTGTGTTATGAAGCAGATTAATTATACAAGAGCGTAATCTCGCTCCTACATTTGCTGTATATTACAGCAATAAAACTTCCTACTTTATATTACAGTTAAATTATTTGTAACTAGTACTGTATCGTCATCCCTATCACTATCTTTGATAAAACAGAGATAACAATATCTTTTAAACGGGCATTTTGGTGTCTAAAATCAACACATAGGCAACTTAATAGTTTTTTATTAATTTCGGGCTGACGGAGTCGTGGGCGACAACTAGTTTATAGACGATTAGACAAAGTGTTGTTGCCAACATTACGGATAGCCTTTGATAAAACATAATCTGGTGTCTATCGTGTACTTCTGATTATGACTGATATATCCTTACTACGTATAGAGGATTTGCAGATATTTATCATTGTTAGAATCCATTTAAGCTTATCTAAATATAAACTTATACTTAGAAATTTGATAATATAAAGATAAATAACATTTCAATACTTACGTTTTAATTTATTATAATCTGTCCGTCCAGAATTAAAACATAATTAATAGTATATATGTTCTTCCAGACTATGTTGTACATATATGGCAAATTTCAGCGAAATCTATAATGCCGTTCTGGAGATATCTTCTAACAAACATCCATACAAGAATCTAAACCTTCGCATTTATAATATTAGTAAGTCAATAACAATCTAAAATTCAAATTGTAATTTGCGTTATTATATCATCATCATCAGCTCATTATGCGTCTCCGCTGAGGGGTTCGGCGCCAACCCTATGTTAGGGGTGACTAAGGCCATAGTCAACCACGCTGGCCCAATCCTTGTTGGTTGACTTCACATATATATTTAAATCTCTTCTCAGATACGTATAACATGTAGTATATTGAAACAAGTATTTACTTACTTTGATATATTTAACCAAACCGCAAACACATACTGGCTTACTACAAGCATGTCGTGGTAAAATACGACTCATAGTAAGTAATAACACTTCAAACACACAAAAAAATATAAAAACCACATGAATACACCAGAAACCAAAATATAAATATTACAGGACAGGATTTAAAATAAAATTGTGCTACAGTTTCGAGTCTTGTGCATCACTGACGCGCAAATCTGAGGCGTGAATCTCAAGTCAGACTTGGATATATTTATCTCTAGGTATGTCTGTACTCCTTTTAAAACAACTAGTGTAAAATGAGCTTTCCTCTTTACCCATTACATGTTCGAAGTGGTCACGACGAGGTAGAAGCAAACAAAGTTCAAGATATATTGGTACTCAATAAAACTGAAACTAAGGAACATTTGTAGCAGGAATCAGGGTTATTGTAATCGTTTTATTGGAAGCGAACCAAATCTCGTAAGTTCTGGTAAGCCCCTACTACGGTGTTTATATCACACTAGCTGTCGCCCGCGACTCCGTCCGCGCGTGGTTAAAACTAGATGTTGGCCGATTCTCAGACCTACTCAATATGCTCACAAAATTCATGAGAATCGGTCGAGCCGTTTCGGAGGAGTATGGGTACGAAAATTGTGACACGAGAATTTTATATATAAGATTTATATCGAAGTCATTGTATCACAATCGTATGTGATTAATATTAAAGTAGACCTAAAATATTCATCACCTATCGTGATGAAAAGCAAATTAAAAATAATCTCAGATGTTACACCAAGCTTCATTAATTAAAAATTTTACACCCCTAACTCCCTTTATCGAAACGCGGTTCTTTGACAAATATGTGTCAAAAGAACTCCGCAAAATACATTTCTTCTTGATAATGATGAAGCAACAATATATTTGTCGCCTTGGTTATTCAGGGGTTAAACACTTGAGTTTTTCTACTTCCAATTTACACATGTTCATTTATCCGACGTTCTTACCGTTCTACGGAAAACATCGCGATGTGAAGTCAATCAACCCGCACTGGCCCAGCGTGGTTACTACGGCCTAATCACCCCTAACTAAGGGTAGGCTCCGAGCCCCTTGGTGGCGACGTATAGTGAGCTGATGATGACGATGATATATTTTTGAACCCACAAGCTGTAAACCATCGATTGATTTTAGGAAGAGGTCCGCAATAGTAGCAATGGTTTCCTATGCACATCTATGACTTTAAAACTCAAAATACTACCAGAAATAGCAAAATTCATGGTTTTGTTAGATTAATATCTTTTACCTATTATTAATAAAGGGATCGAGATAAACAAATGAATCGATCATTCAGTGCTACGTTTCTGTTGATAAAAGTTATTAACTTTAGGGGTACTCTACTGAGTTATTACATCGGCGTCTGTCGCACGCGAAGGACGCCTCTTTCACATAAATGTTTTTACTTACGTTAATATGCGCGTTTGCGCTTACTAAAGCTCAAGCACAATATGATCCTATCGTGAATACAGCACAGGGACGGATACAAGGCTCATTGGCAGCTGATGGCAACTACTACGTCTTTTATGGATTAAATTACGCCGGATCAGTATCTGGAGAGAACAGATTCAAGGTAAGTTTAAACTACAATATATTTAAAAGCGGTCCATTTCCCTTTTTGTCTCAAAAGTCAAAGCAAGCCACTATGTAAATGGGGTAAAGATAAGTTAAATCGTCAAAATGTGATCTCTCTTCCGCTGTACCGTCATATCCGGACTGATAATCGTATATCGAAGATTATTATAATTGGTTGTATGTTATATGTTAAAAAAGATACTGAAATTATCAGGTTTATGATTAGAATTTAAGTAATAAAATAGCGAACATCTATTGACAAGAAGTCAAGTAATCCTATCAAGAAAGCCTATTTGGAGAAAGATAGTCTATCATTTTGTCTATCTATCCTAAAAACATTCCAGAAAACTGAGAACAGAAACAGAAAGTACAGTTCGGATATTACAAATGACATGTACCTCTTTAAAATAACAAAAATGTTATCAGCTTTTGAATAATTAAGTCGTTGTTTTCAGGCGCCGCCTCCTTCGCCTTCGTACCCCGGTATTTTCCACGCAATCAACAGCGGTGTGATATGCGCCCATCCCACATCACGAGGCATCGTCGGTGTTGAAGACTGTCTGACCCTCAGTATCCACACTGCCAACCTGACCGCCTCTCAGCCGGTACTGGTGTGGCTGCAAGGTGAAGAGTACACAACTACTGACACTACGCTACGTTCTTTCAAGAATTTTGCCGATAGAAATGTTGTTGTGGTCAAAGTAAATTACCGCCTGTCTATCTTTGGATTCTTATGTCTTGGAGTACCAGAAGCACCGGGCAATGCCGGTCTCAAAGACGTTGTTCAAGCATTGAAATGGATAAAAGATAACATTGCCGGATTCGGTGGAAATCCCAATAATGTCATACTCTTTGGTCACGGATCAGGCGCAGCGATGGTTGACATCCTTACTCTGTCGCCTTCCGCTGAACATCTTTTCCATAAGGCCATAACTCAAAGTGGGTCTGCATTGTCCCCCGGGGCTATAGCGTATAAACCGATCGAATACGCTGAAGAGTTCGGCGCTAGACTTGGGAACTTAAGAAAATCAAGACAAGAATTAGCAAGACTGCTTACAACAACAGATATAAGTTTATTAGCCACCGTTCTCACACAATTTGAATTCTTCAACAACACAGCTTTGTTCGCTCCCTGTATTGAGAATAATGTTGACAGTAACAACACCATTATTGCCGAAGCTCCGATTAATATTATTCGTTCTGGTAAATACAATCATGTGCCTTATTTGTCTGGATACACGAACAAAGAAGGAACAATAAGAGCTGAAGAAGCAGCTTACAAGCGATGGTTGAACTGGATGCAGACAAATTTCGATAACTTTATCCAAGTAGATTTAGATATTTCAAGGAATTCAAATAAAACTGCTATTGTTCGATCGATACGGGAATTCTATTTCGGACAAAGAATGATTGATATGGCCACTATCGAAAATTATTTAGATTACCATGGAGATACAATGATCCTAGTGTCAACTATTAGAGGAGTAAGAGAGAGAGCAATAACTTCTAAAGCTGCAGTATACCTTTACGAATTTGCTTACACAGGAGCGTTAAATTCTGATTGGCCCTTGCCGCAGATACCACTGACTGGTGTGAGGCATGGAGGACTTTTGAAGTACCTGTACAATTTCAATTTAACTCGAGCTGATGAATTTATGATGGAAACAATTATGGATCGTTATTTAGCATTTATTAACAATGGGTAAGTTGAAACTTTCTTTTTCTTTAAAACAAAACTAATATGAAGCACCACATTTTTCTGTACTAGCTGTTCCCGGCATACTTTGCAGGCAATGGGAGTAAAAATTTTAAAATCAGAAAAATCTATGTCAAACATTTAAGTCTCAGTATTTTGGGCTTTCTGTTTATATATAAGTCAGTCAATGGGCTTTTCAGTTAGCGCAGTGGTTAGGTCTAATCAATATTTTTCTGTTCCAGGACACCCGCTATTCCGAACACCGCGTTATGGGAACCTATATCAAACTTCAGATTGCCATATTTAATGCTAAAAGGTGGTGAATTTGCACCAAATATGTCTACGTCTAATGTATACCAGGGTTTCAATCCCCATGAAAGGACTATGACATTCTGGAACGAAAACTACGCGAGATTGTACGTTGCTCCATCTCCAGTATCGTCAGCGGCGAAACTCATGAGTTTATTCCTTCTTATGGGTCTATCTCAACTATTGTTAAATGTATTTTAAACGGATATTTAGTGTACAGTTGAGGACATTTATTTCCTACCCGTCTGTCATTTTAAATGTTAAATTTTTATTAAAGCTGGAGTATAGTATGCTGTACTATACCCGATCCAATGTGGAATGGGAATTTAATTCTTTGACTGTATTTACCTTTAATACTTTACAATGTCTTTTTACTTTGCGACTAGTCGTGTCATATTATTGATGTGAGAAGTCGCAGGCAGATTATAACAAAGTAGTAATTACTCATATATAACTAGAGGGGAAAGGTTTGGTCTTGTTTCAAACATATGACGTTATGAGAGAGTTGGTATGTAAGTAACGGCGGAATTCCAAATTTCTAAGTTTAACAGCTTTAAATCGATTGCATCTGCGCCTGCTCACGCGTTTCTAGTTAGACATCAACACATCTTATTTACGTAAATATTATTTTTGGGATTTGAAGATTCTTATTAAGAGTAAATATAATTTGAAAAAAAATAAAACGTTTCACTTATTTTTACCTACCTATTTCTTGTTTTGTAAGAGCTGTCACCATATAACAGTGTAGGTATATGATAATTAATCCTTAGTAATATTATAAATGCGAATGTTCTGTTCTGTTCTGTTCTGTTTCTTGTTTATGGCTCTCCCTCATCGGATTGGGCCAATGTCAAGTGTTTATGGTTCTGTTTAAACTTGTTAGAGACTGGCAACAATACTCTGCTTGTAGAGAAGTCTTGTGAATATACAAGTGAACCAAAGAATAAAAACGAATAATACCTGAAACTGTTGATTTACCCAAAAGGACAGATACAAACATTTAAATATTGTTAGTAGGTTATAAGACGTACAACTTAGAGTCTAATATTATTAGTGTTAATATAATGCGAATGTTTAGATGGATGGATGTTTGTGTCAAGCTATCTCCAAAACGCCTAATTGTATCTCCGTGAAATTTCGCATGAATAGAACATAGCCTGGAAGAAGATTTAGGATATTATTTCTTTTTTATTCCGCGCGGAGTTTCCGGCGACAGCTAGTTAAATATATAAGAAAGTTGACAAGAAATCAATGTTCAAAAGTTCATGTACATTTGTACTAAGGTTGTTATCACTTTCTGTTATCGCACACTCCCTCAAATATTTCTATGAAATCATTTTTGATCATATCTTATCATATACGTCGGTTATTTTTATACTATTGGAAAGTTTAATTTTGACATCTTTAAGTTATTTTTTTATTTGAGGTAAATGGATCAACGACAGTTTGAAAATGACAAATTTTTCATATTTATCTCGATTTTTAGTACAAAAAAACAGCTTCTCAAGTTTAACTATAGATTCTACAGTGCAATTTTTTTTATTTAATACGTAATACTGATCGAAAGATTTTTCGATACGTATATTATTAATAAATATATATTTTAACTGAGACATAAGCTAATAATTCATACTATATTAAATAAACTATATACTAAAACAAAACCAAATTAAAAATAAAACTAAATAATGTAAAAAAATCGACACAAAATCGCTGCGCTGTACGTAATTTGAAATAATAATTTGCATTTATGACTGTTTATTTCTCACCTCAATGTTTACATGGATAAATTAAACCTATTAGATAAACGAATAAAGTATTTCAATGAAAAATTTGTATCATCAAAAAAGTTGTGCAATATGACTTACAAAATATTCTTGTTATTTTATTTAAAGTTAACAATAAACACTTACATGCTTATCGTTTTTAGTTTGGATCGGTGACCTCATTGATACGATTTATCGATAAAAAAATCAAGTCGATATTGTAAAGGTACAGCACTTTCGAGTCATTACACCGGCGTCGGCCGCATGCGACGCACGTCATTCGCGTGTGATTACAAGTGACCTTGAAAATGTTGTTCTATGTATTAGTGTGCGCGTTTGCATTTGCACACGCTCAGGAACAAAATACTCCGTCAGTAAATACAACGCAAGGATTGATACAGGGCTCATTAGCAACTGATGGCAACTACCACGTCTTTTATGGAATACATTACGCTGGGTTTGTGTCGGGAGGGAACAGGTTTAAGGTAAGTTCATATCTACCTACAAGTGCAAGTATTTGTATCAGTCAATATCGCAGAAGACAACGATTTATCGCGTTGTTTGCCTAAGAATACAGGTAATAAAATCAGTTATATAAGTATTAAAAGTATAAAAAGGCTTATATAGAAATTGTCTTAGTTAATATTACGTACAAAATTTATATGAAAACTTCTATTTACGATTATAACTTTTACAAAAATAAATATTTATCCTTGAGATAAAAGTGTTCTTAGGTTTGTTAATACTAACGAGAATCATTAGATAAACAAAGTATTTTGGTTACGCCACGTCTTTTAGTAATGGAGATCTTAGTGTAACCAAAGAAAATGATAACTTCAAATGGCATTCTGAGTACGATTCTCTGTATTAGAAATACAGACTGCCCAGACTCAAGTGGACGAAGATAAGCTTGTCGTGATAAATAAAAAAGAAAATTTCTGTGTTGTTTTCAGGCGCCACCTCCTCCACCCTCATACCCCGGTGTCTTCCACGCAATCAACAGCGGTGTGATATGCGCCCATCCCACATCACGAGGCATCGTCGGTGTTGAAGACTGTCTGACCCTCAGTATCCACACTGCCAACTTCACCGCTTCTCAGCCGGTACTGGTGTGGCTGCAAGGTGAAGAGTACACAACTACTGACACTACTCTACGTTCTTTCAAGAACTTTGTCGATAGAAATGTTGTGGTGGTCAACGTAAATTACCGCCTGTCTATCTTTGGATTCTTATGTCTTGGAGTACCAGAAGCACCGGGCAATGCTGGTCTTAAGGACGTTGTCCAAGCGTTGAAATGGATCAAAGAAAACATTGCCGGATTCGGTGGAAATCCCGATAATGTTATCCTATTTGGTCACGGATCAGGCGCAGCGATGGTTGACCTACTCACTCTATCGCCTAACGCGGAACATCTTTTCCATAAAGCCATAACTCAAAGTGGCTCTGCATTGTCCCCTGGAGCTATCGCGTACAAACCGGTTGAATACGCTGAAGCGTTCGGCGCAAAACTTGGCTACACAGGAAAGTCAAGACAAGAATTAGCAAGACTGCTTACAACAACAGATATAAGTTTATTAGCCACCGCTCTCACAGATTTTGAATTCTTCAACAACACAGCTTTGTTCGCTCCCTGCATTGAGAATAATGTTGACAGTAACAACACCATTATTGCCGAAGCTCCGATTAATATTATCCGTTCTGGTAAATACAATCATGTGCCTTATTTGTCTGGATACACGAACAAAGAAGGAACAATAAGAGCCCACGAAGCAGCTTACAGCCAATGGTTAGACAAAATGCAGACAAATTTCGATGACTTTATCCAAGTAGATTTAGATGTTGCTACAAATTCGAACAAGACTGCAATCGTTAAATCAATACGGGAGTACTATTTCTTACAAAGAATAATTAATATGGAGACTATCGAAGATTATTTAGATTACCATGGTGATACAATGATCCTTGTGTCAGCCATTAGGGGAGTGAGGGAGAGAGCGCTCACATCCAGAGCTGAAGTCTACCTTTACGAGTTTGCTTACAGAGGAACGTTGAATTCTGACTGGGCTTTACCACAGATACCACTGACTGGTGTCAGGCATGGAGGAGTTTTAAACTATCTGTTTAATTACGATTTAACCCCAGGTGATGTACATATCATGGAGGCGATTATGAGGCGTTATATATTATTCCTTAATAATGGGTAAGTTTTTTTCTTTTTCTTTTTAATTGTACATTATAAAGTCTTCATGTAAGATTAAATTTAATAACGACGTTAAATTTTACACTACAAAACAATAAGGTACTGCTTTCTTGTATATGGCTGTACCTTAGCATATTGGGCCGTTGTCGACTGTTTGGGGTTTGTTTTCAGTTTGGGAGAATGTGGACAATATGGTAAATTTAGGATGCCATGAGACTGTGTGTGATCAAAAACATCATTTATCAGCAATATAAATATGAAAAAGTAATGAGATTGAATTTGCATGGCTATAAAGTTAGAGGAAGACCAAAGAAAGTGTGGATTGTGTGAAAGATGATATGCGTAAGAAGGGGTGGAATTCAGATATGACGACTAATAAATTTGTATAAAGGAGTACACACTGTGCCGAGCAAACTTGCTGCAAGGAAATTCAGGTTGATGATGAGAAAGTTGAATTTAAATGTTCATTTCTGTTCCAGAACACCCGCTTCTCCGAACATAGCACTATGGGAGCCGGTAACAAGTTCACGCTTGTCATATTTATTACTAAGTGGTGGCGAAGTATCAACAAATGTGTCAATCAGTAATGAGCATCAGGGATTCGATCCTCATCAGCAGAGAATGACATTTTGGAATAATCACTATGCCACGTTGTATAAAGCGCCATCTCCAGTCTCTTCAGCGACAAAACTTATAAGTTTAGTGTTCACAGTTGGTCTATTCCAATTGCTTTTAAATTTACTTTAAATGGCAATAGTACATTGAATTTTGTTACTTATTGTTGGTCAGTAATTATTGTGTTTAAGTTTAGTTTTTAATTTTGTTATGATTTAAGTATTGTTTCATTTTATTTAGATTAAGAAAATGGCCATTTAGTATTTGTTTAATTGTTGATTTAATATAAAAGCCTATCTGTTATGTATGAAGATTGAAAGACTATATATGTATTCAATTAACTAGTATAAGGGGTCGGTTCAGGCAGGCCGGGGCGGAGAGCAGAGCAGATTTTGTTGTCTGTATGTTTTTAATCAATTATTTCTACAGTAGAAACCCACACTTAAAAATTAGGAGATATTAATGTTGTAATAAATAGATAAAAATGTAATAGTGTGTACCTTAATATGTCACGCAACCGCCCATTTTTTTTAAAGAAATAAATGTTTTTTTTTAATTCATGTCAAATTTTAGTTTTCATTTAATTGTAATGCACTAACATATTAAAAATCTAAAATAAAATCTAGAATTTGCCGCATACATAAAGATAAAGAACACAAAACTAAGGCGTGAATAAAATTTAATTTAAACAATATATTTAGGATATTTTTTACTTAATATATAGACATTATGTGACATAAAAGTATTATCTAGATCTAGGTAAATAGACCATAACGTGTAACACGACATGTTTTAACCGCACGCGGTTATGCTCTTGCGGTTTGTACGGTGACAGTTGCAAACCATTGGATTAATATAGGTTTTTGATTACATCCCTTCAGTTATTTCTAAAAATCCCAAGATATCGAATACTTCACAATTATTTTATAAAATTTATTACTTTATTATCCTTAATTATTCCAGAAATATACTACACTAGTCGGCCGCGATTCTATCTGCACTGAATTAAAAAAAAACTTAGTAGTCTATGTGTTCTTCCAGGCAATGTTCTAAATCTATACTAAATTTCAGCGAGATCCATGCATCCCTTCAGGAGGTACCTTCTAACAAATATCCATCCATACAAACATAGGCATATTATTAGTAATATTTAGTTTTTACAGGTGAAAACTTTATTCGTTATAAAGTCTTAAAATTATTTTTTCATGCGCCATTTTATTGAAGTTTTATGTTCTCAGTTTCATAAACTTTCGAAATCAAACCTTGAAGTTTTAACTCAAAACTTTATATGAATAGGTTAACTTTAAGCCGCAAGCGAATGTTTATTTTATACTTAACTGTCACTTAAAAGAAATAAGAGCCCGAGGCAATAAAAAAATATTTCGTTCAGTGAATAATTTAATGAACTTTTCAAATCTCTTGCAAAAGTAAAATATAACAAACTTTCAAAGGTATTGTTATAAGCCAGAAAAATATCAAATTCATTAGTTGGCCGTATTTTTTTTATTAACCTCACTAACCCTAATAAGCCCTACCAATGTCTTCCCGGATATACAGTTTCATTTCTTGATATCAAAACCCCTCCGAAGAGAGTACATTTCAGTTCCAAGTTGAAGTCAACATATTCTAGCATTAAACTGATTTTAAACTTTATTCTAAAGCCAATAAGAGCGAGATTTCAATAATATTATATAATAGTCATATTCCCAAGGGTAAAACAGGTACGACATTACTGGCCGAAAAGAAAATCGTAATTTACTGTGAAAATGTGGCCATTTAGTTTTTATTTCCACAATCAAAGGCGGGAAAATGCCATTAGACCTATTAGAGAGTAAAATATTTTAAAAATAGAAAAAAGATTTTTTTTTTCAGTAATAATTCGAGAATACGAAAAATAATTTAGTCTTTTAATATGGTCACTGGCTGAATTTTATTTATCACACTAGGACGTGCGAACGAAGAAAAAAGTCCGATTGTTTATATTTTAATCTTACTGACAGTCTAGCGATCATATGACTACAGACAGCAGTGATTAGGTTCCTATTTCAAGGTCCTATTAAAGGCGAGCCGACCAACTTAAATCTTCCTAATATGACATTTATGTGTATTAGTTAGGATAGATGTATAGATGTTAGTTAGCAGGCAAAACTGATGAATGGATTTGGATGAAATTTGGCAGGAAAATAAACT